AAAAAAAAAAAAAAAGTATAAGTGCTCAGACTCAGCCCTCAAAAACAGACTTAACGGGTCTGGGGAAAAGCATTCCTATCCTGTATATCTCCACCTCTGCAAAATACATTGAGTTTTGTGAAGTCCTCCATGTGGACAGCTACCCTAAGGTGCCTAGAGCTTTCTCTCTTCGGCACCTTACCACCCAGCTTTTGCTTGACTTGCAGTATAGCAGGGAATTGGCTAGCCTTGTCTTCAGGTCTTACATTCTGCACTTAGTAGCTAGTGTCCCTGGAAAAATGACTTGATCTCTCTTTCTTCTCATCTGTAAGAAGGGGCTCGTGGTGCTCCTACCCCATACAGTTGTGTGGAATAGATTAAATATAGATGAAATGTTTAGCACACGGGCAGACAAACTGAATGAGCCATTAAAAAAATATATAGCCCAGCAACAAAGCACACAATCAAGGAGACATCCACTCCCACCTCCCCTTCCCTCCCATGGTAACCACTCATGGCTGGGGATCTCTGTAAGATTAAGCACAGGTAGACAGGTTGGGATTTGGGAAAAATGCTAAAATAGAAACTGGAAATGAGAGACACCAGGGGAAATTAAACCAACCAGAGGAAGCGCCTCAGGCTGCGAGACCCATGGGATGGTCTGATTAATAATATCCTCCTGGGTCCCTGCCTCAGAAAGGGGGGTGTTCAGTGGGCCTGGCAGGCTGGGCTCTCAAGCACAGAGCTGCCAACCACCCAGCCACTAGGAGGTCCCTGGGCTGGCTAGGAGCTTCTAGGGGCACAGAGGAAGCTGGGGTTACAGGGGATACCCCAAAACACTCTTCTCCAAATTCCATCCCCCTCATTGACCTGCATCCCCTGTGCTGACAGGCAGCCAGGACCCCCGCCCCAGACAAAGTGAGTGAGGGGTAGCTGGAAGAGAAAAGGCTTTGGGAGTTGTATTTGGCCCCTCACCTCCCCACTCACTGTGGTGTGACTTTAATCTCTCCGAACTTTGGGCTCCTCATCTGTAAAATGGAGCTAACAAGCCTGACCTGTGAAGACATGAGGTACTCTCACATACAAAGCAGCTGTAATCACTCCCTGCTAATTCTGTACACACACACCCGACCACTGCCACTTCACATGGTGCCTGATACATCTGGTACAACAATTGTAAGGGACCCATTAGAGATGAATACAAAAGTGCAAAAGAAAATAGCATTCAGCCCCTAAATCGTGAGTTTCTAATGGACAGGAGTGGGTCCTTTCTTCTTGTGTCCCTGATGCCCTAATGCTCGTTACTAGGCTGTCCATCCTGTGGCTCCTAATCAGAAGAATGGAATATTCTTTTCTTACAGTGCTCATCATACAAAGCACTTTCAATTCCCTGATGTCATTTACCATTCATGTATGCATTCATTCCTCAAATATTTACCGAGCTTTTACTGAGTGCAAGGCACTTCCCACACGCGAGCCCTGAGTGACAGGGGACAGCAGGGAGTATTCTTCCCTTTGGGAGCCGGTGATGATGATGCTCATAATAGCAACACTAATACCCACATCTCTGAGTGCTCACTGGGTACCAGGCACCACTCTCAGCCTCTGTGTGTTTTAACTCCTTTCATTCTCACAACAAACTTAGAAAAAAATTATTCTTCTCTTAACAACTGAGACACAGAGAGGTTAAGTCCTGTAGCTGGTATGTGACAGAATCTGTGTCAGACCCAGCCAGGCATCTTGACCACAAACTTGCACTGTCTGTTGGTTAAAAGATAAAAAAAACCAAGGACAAGAGAGGTTTAGTGACTAGACCCAGAATTGAGTTGAACTGTGGTCATTTGATTCACCTTGTGAATCTTCCTTTAGGTGACAAGAAACCGTAAATGATAACGTCATCTGTCCTCCCTGGGAGTGTAAACCCTTGCCCCTGCCAGGCTTTCAGAGTATCATTTCTGGGCTGTCAGTTGGAAGGAGAATTCCTGAAAGACGGAGGTAGAGAGTCCCCCCTGCCATCCCCCTCCTCAGTCCTCTGCTAATGGTGCAAACTGCTGACAAGTCCAGGGAGCTGCCCTGGCTGGGAAGTAATAGAGCCTTGGCACCTTCCAGGTGCAGGCTGAGTGCTATGAAGGGCTCAGGACCCCGGAGCTTTAGACCATCAAGTCAAAGCATTGCCCTCTTGTTACCCTTTCTGGAGTCAAAGGTCCTTGGAACCCCTACAGAAGAAAATCTGCATAACCTTAATTAACAAAGAGATGTTAGAAAATGTCCCAGGCTTCTGCAGATTTATAGGGAGGGTAAAATTAAACACCACCACTAAAACCTGCTATCAGGGAATCTCGTTAGCACTAATGTTCATTTATAGTTTGACTTCCCAACATTTAATTCTTTTTTGGTGGGAGAGAAGGACTGACAATTTAAGACCCAGAAAGATGGTTTTATGACTGGTGCAGCTATAAATCAAACTTATAAAGTTCATAAAAATTGTTAAAATAAAAAATGGTTTAATAGGAATGTTTTATGGCCCATAACATTATTATAGCTGTTTTATTCCCTCTGCGTTTGGGGTTTAATTGGATCACCACAATTCTAGGGATTCTCTGTTTTTATTGGATGGCGGGTAATCTTAAATCAAAATGGCCCCAAATGTCTTCAATATGGCCCCTCATTTATGAGCCCGCTCCCTACAGTCTGGGTGCTGAGCCAGGGCACCCTCACAGAGGATGGGATGAGATACCATCTTTCTCCCTGATTCCCCAAAGGTAGCTGCCCTTTTGGTGAAACTATTCAGCAATCCAGGCATTATAGGACACGGGCCAGAAAGAAATCAGAGCCAAAAGGGAAAATGGGCTTCAGACCAGTGTGACTTGAAATAAAATCCCAAATTAGGATATATAATGAGGAGACCATGTGCTCTGGAGCCTGACAGACCTGGCTGCAAATATTGGCTCTACCATGTATTATGTGACCTTGGAGATGTTGCATAGTCTCCCTATGCTTCCATTTCTTCATCTGTAAAATGGGAATAATGATATGGAACTCACAAGGTTGATGGGAGGCTGCGTCTAGCCCAGTGCTCTCCAGTAAAAATATAATATAAGACACACATGTGAGCCATGCGTGAAATTTGAAATTTTTAGTAGTCACATTTTAAATAGTAAAAATAAACAGATCAATTTATGTTACATATTTTATTTAATCCAGTTGATAAAAAATAATTATCTTTTCAACATGTAACCAATACAAAAATTATTAACAATATAGTTTATATTTATTTATACTGTCATTGCAATCCAGTGTGTATCGTACATTTATAGTACATCTCAATCCAGACAGAGAGTACATCTCAACTTGAGCAAACTACATTTCAAATGCTCAATAGCCACATGTGGCAAGGAGCTACCATATTGGGCAGTGCAGCTCTAGTCCAATAAAAGCTCAAAAAGCCGTAGTAATGGTTGTTTCTAGTATTCCTGAACTCCCTGCTCTCTACTTCATACCTATTTTATAACCATTTGAAAGTACTTGACTATTCAACTCCCCAAGATGCCTGTGTTCACCCATGCTGTACCTTTTCTACCCTTTTCAGGTGTCTGACAGGTCAGTGGTGGCTCTAGTCCCCAAACAGACGTCTTCCTACAACATCCCTGCCTCTGCCAGCATCTCTCGGACGTCTATCAGCAGATACGGTGAGGACCAGGAAGGCAGTCCAGACTGACAGCTCAGGGTGGAGTCTTCTGTGACTGACCTAGGCCCACCCCCCACCCCTTCGCACAGCAGGAAACCCTACTGCCTGGCCTCCATTCCGAGACTCTTGCTCAATTGTTCCCCTTCCTCCCTAGTCCAGTCCTTCCCATAGCACTCTGGGTCCTCAGACCTGTGGGAGCAGGTGGCACTATGTGCCTTTTTTTTTTTTTTTGCCATCTCAGGCCTGGTGAAGGAGCTGGAGTGGCCCAAAACCAAGAAGAAACCTGGGTGGGAGTTCAGATATCCCTGTTTTCCTGGACCAGTCTCAGCTCATGCCTGTTGCCCCTGCTGAATTATTAATAGTACCCCCCCCTTTGCTCTCAAAAGTGTCCCAGGTTAAACAATACATTAACCACCCTCACCTTTATACCTCTGAGGAGTACCAGGGGCCACCGGTGCCGTCCGAGCAATGAAGTTATGGCACTTCACTCTCCCTTATTCTAGTTTCTCTAGTTTCATGTATGCACTAAGACATTGGGCTTCCTGGTTGAAGGACACCACAGGACTGAACCCAGAAGCTCCAAAAAGAGTTTAGGAAATTCCATATCCTAGGTCTCAAGAAAGAAGGGGGCCTTAACTCCCAAAGGTAGCATTACAACTTGTAGCTCTTTTGTTTCCAGATTTTTATTAAAGCACCGATGAAAATCTCCTATTGATATTTTACGTATTAATTGTTCACTGCTAGGAACACTGGAGGAGAGGGAACTCCCAAATTCCCAAGGGTATGTCCCTCTCACAGAATTTATAGAACTTCTTTTCAAAAAAAAGACTTCAGGCTCCTCTGTCCTCATGCCAACCAAGGATCCCCCAAATAATCCACCAAATATAAGGCCCCAAGGGTCCCATTCCAACTGAAATGAGTTTATTCTGAGTGGATGCAGCAGGCGGGCAGGAATTCTGGAAGAATTCTATAAGCAAGGATGATGACATCAGTTTCTCACAGCCCTCCACCCCTCCCCTCTCCTCAGACTCTTCCTTCAGGTACACAGGCAGTCCCGACAGCCTGCGGTCCCGGGCCCCCATGATCACCCCAGACCTGGAGAGTGGGGTCAAGGTGTGGCATCTAGTGAAGAACCATGACCACGGTGACCAGAAAGAGGGTGACCGGGGCAGCAAGATGGTGTCCGAGATCTACCTGACCCGGCTACTGGCCACCAAGGTAACTCCTGTTCTGCCTGGGCCAGGGAGGGCTCCTCAGAAGAGTATATCCTGCCCCTCCAAGGCACAAGAAGGACATCTGGAGTATGTCCTTCAAAGGGATTCACTCAGATGAGTTATAGTCCAGGTCTCTGGGCAGGCCTTCCAGGGGATCAGGCCACTACATTTTGGCTAAAATAGCAAATATATTGTGGCTTTCTGCCCACTCCTGGAAACTACCGTTATACTTCAGAGGAGCAGCTCTCTTCCTCTGGGCCCCCTTAAAATGATGTAAGGCTTCTTGCTGATGTTAGCTAGACAGATATGCTGGTTCCCACCACCATCACCTTTTCTACCCCCTTTCTGGCCACAATGGGAGAGAAATCACAAAGGCCTTGCCAGTAATTTGAGATAAGGCTCCCCCTTCCCCATTCTATCCCATTTCATCTCCCCCCAAATATTGATAGAAGTGAGGCAGTGTCTTCTAGCCTTCCTAGCAGAGACCAAAACAAGCCTGTAAGTATGGCAATCATACAGTCCGCATATCCCAGGCCAGGCTGGGATTCAAATACTCTCCCCCACTGACCCTACAACACTACCACTGAAATTCTAATACAGCTCTCAGACTTGCTCCCAGAGTGTCTTAGAAATAGTCTATCAGATCCCATGTCTCCATTTTAGTTTTCCTTATTATGTTCAGCATACCAGAACACAGAGAAATGCTAGAAAAGGCTAGAGGTTGAGACCCTCTGAGGCCCTGTGGGTCAGGTTCTTCAATCTAGACCCTTCACCTGCAGCCCACACTCCAGACACCACTTTTCCCAGGCCACTGATATCTTAAGGTTCTTCACAACTTCCTATCAGACCTTCCTGGTCCTGCCACACTTCTTCAGCTTTTTCCTCGGACACCCTCTCTAGGCTGGCATACCAGCCTGTGCCTGGACTCAGAGCACTTCCTGTCTTCCTATCAAAGGCCCTGAGCCCACATCAACCTGGCATGGGCACAAGCATAAATGTGGTATGTGACTGCAAGTTGGACGAGAGACTCTTCCCCAGGATCCTCAGTCCATTCAGCCTCTCCCACTGCCCTGACTAACCAATGGTACCCTCCCTACCCCTGCCCTACGGCCTGCATAGTCTCATGTCCCAGACAAACTTCCAGGGTAGGATGGGTCCAAGGTACCATCTGGTATGCCCGTCTACTGCCTGCCCTCCATCTCACTCTCCTTCTACCCTCCCCCAGGGCACTCTGCAGAAGTTCGTGGATGACTTGTTCGAGACCTTGTTCAGCACTGTGCACCGGGGGAGTGCTCTCCCCCTGGCCATCAAGTACATGTTTGATTTCCTGGATGAGCAGGCAGACAGACACAGCATCCATGACACAGATGTGCGGCACACCTGGAAAAGCAACTGGTAAACCATAGAGGATCCCAGCGGGAGGTGTGGCCTGGAGAGGCCTGGATCTGTGGTGTTAGGAACCAGTGGGGGGTAGTCTGTTCTCAGCTGGGACTGGGTGATCAGAGGCTCCTGGAACAAACAGTGCGCATGTGCTCTGCAGAGCCCACATGGTCCCCAGGCTGCCTGTGCCAAGTAGGGCCTGCCTGATTTGAGGCCCAGCACTAGGACACACGCTTGAGCTCTGCCCTTTCAGGTTGTGACCACTCCCCAGGAAGAGCCTCCTCCCCTGACTCTGAGACCTCTGGTTCTCAGAAGGGAGCTGGGGGAACCTATGCCAAGAGCCACATTTAGAACCTGCATCAGAGCTTCAGAGTCAGGGACTGTGGGGCATTCCAAGTGGGGTGGATCTAAGGCACTTCCTGAGATGAGGAAGCCCTGAGTTAAACTTTCACTCTCATGAAGCTGGCCAGTGCTGGAGAGGGAGCTCGCACCTGCTGTGATCTTGAGCCCACTGACAGTGAGGATTTCATTGCAAACTTGATCTCTTAAGGCCGAGTGATTACCCTGGCGCCACAGCTTTTGGGAAGCAGCAGGCAGAATATCCTGCAGGCTTGACTGTCTTCCCAAAGTCATCATTGCGTCCAGCCCAGCAGTGGGAGGACGTGCTCCCTCAGGCCCCTGGCATGAGACTTTTTCCTCCTGGGTTTTGAACCTGGACCACAGACCAAGCTAAGGACTGACTCTCAGGTCAGACAGGACCCGGCCAAGAGCCAGAGTCAAAAAGCTTCCTTTGGGAAAGAGCACAGAGAGGGGAGAGGAGAGGTCCAGGCATTTGGGTTGGGCAGGCAGCCCACGCAGCTGTCTGGAGTCAGCGGTCTCCTCAGAAAACAGAGCCGGCACAGATGGGCCCAGGCTGTTATTTGGGAATCAAAAGTCCTAGCAACCAACAAAACACTTTGGAAAAAGCCAGCCCCAGCCCCTTATATTCCTTCCTTCTTGGGCTGTTGTGGTCGATGAGTCCTATTCAGTCTGCAGCTTTGATCACAGCTGAGTGGAATGGAGAGGCTGGGGGTAACCCTAGGGTGAGAAGCTCATAGTGCACTTTGCCAGGGCAGGCCATGCATCTATCTGCATTCTCAGGGGTGGGCCATGGCTGTCTCCTTTGCTTTGGAGCATCTCCAGCCCAGCACTGGGAGTGGGCAATTTTGGGGAAATCAAGAAAAAATTGTGAGTTATCCCATCTCCATGCCTTCTGAGTGCTGGCCAGACTCAAGTAATAGAAGTGCACTACGCTGGCTTTGCAGTGGGGAGAGAGTTTCCTTATCCAGACCTCAATGGCATATGTCCAAAGAAAGATTAACAGAACCTCCCCAAAGCTGCCAGTAGACAGAGTCCGAAGAGATGTGTCTACTCTCAGCTGAGGCAGCTCCTCCCAGGTTATAGAAAAGTGGGTGATCCTGTACCACTTTGAAGAGTAAATAGAAATCATCATGGAAGGGCTTGAGGTGGGTAAAGCTGATCTTTCCCAAGACTTGGCACTACTAACACATTCTGTGTGCTGGCCAGACTCAAGTAACAGAAGTACCCTACGCCCGCATTGTGGTGGGGAGAGAGTTTCTTCATCCAGACCTCAAGTGGGAAGGCTCAGGGCTCATGGGAATCAAGAGAAGATGAAGAAGGGGAAAGAAGGGAGAAGCTAGGGAACTAGGAACATCATGTCAGGCTAGAAGGACAAGCCAGCAGACAGAGATCACTCCACAGAGGAGTCAAAAGAGTTAATGCCCAGAAGGCAGCTGGAAGAGAAGGCAAGCTGGAAAGGGAAGGAAAGACAGCAGCTGTTCTGGTTTCGAAGGAGAGTAAATGGGCTTATCCACCTTATGGCCTATGGAGCAGAGAAAACTCATTCTCTTCTGGTTATAAATTCCCGGGTTGCAGAAGGAAGTCTCCTAACTACTGATCGGTTCCTCTTGGGGTGGGAAAATCTCTGAGCTACAGTGAGTCATTCCCTGGATGCCAACAATGGCCTCCTCTTCTCCCTCTGCCCCTGCTCAGATACAAGAATGCCCTGGGGAGAGCTGTGAAAGAAACTTCCCCCAGGGGAGCCCATTCCTCCGTCCAACCAGACTGGGGCAACCCTGGGAAGTGGCTTGGCCGGCCGGGCTGGGCGGGGAGCGCAGGTGGTGCCCTTTGTGCCCACTCTGAGGCAGTGCCTGGGGTTGCCGGCTGCGTCCTTCAGGACAATGGCCATGGGCACTGTAAAGGGACTCCAGGAGCCTGGTGGCTTTGTTTGCAGCCCTGAGAAAATTGTGCTATCCTCTGTACTTGGGCTTCCCTGGGGGCACAGAAAGACTGCCAGGAGGGAACAGAATGCACCCACATCCACCCTGGGCTGTCAGAGAACAGGGTCAGTGCCCTGTAAGGGTACAATGGTGCCTCTCCTTTTCTTCCTGGTCAGTAACAGCTTAGGCTAAATTAGCCCTGGCAGGACTCATTTTCTGTGATTTTATTACCTTACCCCTTCAGGTAGACAATTTGACATTTGGGGTGAGGGAAGGAATACTAGCAGACAGTGTAAGGCCTGTGGCCAACGTACATTCTTGGGTCTGCTCTGCCTTTCCCCCACAGCCTCCCTCTGCGCTTCTGGGTGAATGTGATCAAGAACCCCCAGTTTGTATTTGACATCCACAAGGGCAGCATCACGGACGCCTGCCTCTCTGTGGTGGCCCAGACTTTCATGGACTCTTGTTCAACATCAGAGCACCGACTGGGCAAGGACTCCCCCTCCAACAAGCTGCTCTATGCCAAGGACATCCCCAGCTACAAAAGCTGGGTAGAGAGGTCAGTAGCACCCTTGGGACAGGCCGATGGCCCATCTCCCTGCCCATGCCCCACCCTGAGGACTCACACAGTGTTTGTTGTCTTAAGACCTCTTGTTCCCTTCCTTCTTTCTTGTCCACGCTCCCTGTTATGGGGAGGAAGGGTGCCTTTGTGAAATCAGATGATTATCACCCTAATTACTATTTATTGAGCATATGCTCAGTATCCAACACTGTGATAAAGATTTTGGATGTATTGTCTCATTAAAATGTCCAACATATTTGTAAAGTGTAGGTATTATTATTATCTCCATTTTCACTGATGAGGTACAGAGAGGCTAAATCATTTGCCCAACATCACACAGCTAGCAGATAGCAGAGCTGGAATTTGAACACAAGGAGTCTGGTCAGAGTCTGAGCTTTCAACCGCTCCACTGGGCACTGCAGCCAGGAGCTCTCAGCTAGATGGAATCACCCAAAGAGACCCTAGGCTTATGGTCTCAACCTTGAGGAAGTCACATCAGAAGAGAAATAGGGAGGCAGAAGCAACGAGGGACACCTAGTGCTCTCAAGGAACCTGGGACTGAGGTAAGTGTAGGCAAATGTTTGCTAAGTCCACCATCAAGGTGCCTGTCCTGTCTACGGCAGATACTACGCAGACATTGCCAAACTCCCGGCAATCAGTGACCAGGACATGAACGCCTACCTCGCCGAGCAGTCCCGCCTGCACGCTGTGGAGTTCAACATGCTGAGTGCCCTCAATGAGATCTACTCCTACGTGAGCAAGTATAGTGAGGAGGTAAGACAGGACCCTAGAAGGGACAGAAACCAGCACGCAGATAGCAGGAAGCCTGACTCAGTCCTAAAATAACAATAATAGACAGTAATTTAGAAAATACATTCATGGAGTCAAAAGCCCATGAGCTCAAAAATCATTATCATTCCTTTATAAGGCAACTCAGCTTCTCTTGATTCATTGAACACTTTATATGTTTCATTGTCTTTCACTCATTGTTAACTCAGTAAATAACACTTTCAATAATTTAATTGTTGTTCACTTTGAAGTGTTGTACGATTCATTTCATTCTTTCTTAAGCAATGAGTAAAATTGTTCTTTGCACTTGGGCAGATCCTGTCAATTATATTTTAGACAGACAGGTGGACTTTTACATGAATGGAGGTTAATTAGGACAGCTTCACAAGTCTTGCATTAGCATTAAACCTGAAGGTAGTAGCAGCAGCAATAGTTAACACTTGCGTACCACTTCCTATGTGCCAGATATTGTTTTAAACACTTAAGATATATACAGACATATGTGTGTGTATTTGTATATATATTTATTTAATTAACCATTTAGATTATTTAAGTTTATGTTCATTAAGGCAGAAAAGAAAGGTAGACAGAAACTGAGGAGAGAGGGACTCTGGAAAATGGTGTCTTCTCTCCTGGGTCCTAAAGTCTTCCCCACTTGTTTCTATTCCTCAGCTCATCGGGGCCCTAGAGCAGGATGAGCAGGCACGACGGCAGCGACTGGCTTATAAGGTGGAACAGCTCATTAATGCCATGTCCATTGAGAGCTGAGAGGAGGAGTTTCGTGTTCCTGGGAAAAGGGACCCATCAAAGCTGTCACACTGGGAGTCTCAGAAGGAAGGACAAGTGAAGGGGATCAGGCCCCAGAGCTTGCTGTCCCCCAAGACCCCATCTGGGGAGAGGAGAAGGCCCCTCCCACATGCCAGCCAAGTTTCGTCATAGTCAGTTCCTGCTGGGGAAAGACCATGGTCTTCATCCATCTACAGCAAGAACAAGAGAGGACCCGGGCCAAGAGAAGGTGGTTCTTCAAGCTGAGAGGCACGAGCTGGGGACAGTTCTGCCTCTGTGACTGCTGCTTTGCATGAAAACTCATTTGATGTATATTGGGGAAATAATGAGAACTTTATTTAATTTTTTTTAAGAAAAAGGAAAAAAAACAGAAATAAAACAAAAAGCCGCCCTGTTAAGCCCATCCAACTTTTGTTTAATTCTGATTTCTGTCTCCCTTCCTTCTTCCCCACATCCCTCCTTCCTCATATAACTCTTGCTTCCAAATGCCAGAAAAAGCCTATGAAGAGATGCTGAGAAAAACTGGAAGGGAAATGACTGTCTTCTTTTCCTTGAAATTAAAAAAAAGAAAGGAAGAGAAGAAGAATGAGCACAAGTTCACAACAAACACTTCACAAAAACAGAGGCCAGTAAAACCTGGAATTATCCCAGCAGCCAGAACGGTATGGACCTACAGAACTTTGCACAGATTGCAAAACCATCGAGCAGCTCCACTTGGCTGACTGGAAACAGCTTTACATACCCACACTTGTATATTCTCATCTCTTGAGAGGAGATAATGTACCTAGATCGTACCAATGCTTTTTGCTACTGTTTTTGTTTGTTTTGCTTTATTTAATTCCAAACCTCAACAAGTGAGGAGCTGGTCTTTGGTACTTTTTCATTCAATTTCCCTAAAGTTACTATCAGAAGTAGGGTGCAGTGGGTCTTTCCCAGACCAGACACCTGGCCTCCGAAGGACGTTGGGCAGCTCTGCCTCATATCCATCCTTGTCATAAACCAGGCACCCTGGGGAAACAGCCTGGAGGTGTGTGGGCCAGGCCTCTAAGAGGTTCCATTTGGGAGCTGATTTGGGGACATGGGTGTTTGGCTTCAGAGTCCACTCCAATCATCCAGTGGTTTCTGGCATTTAAAAAGAAAGCAAAACTCAAATACTGTTTACAGCAAGCAATACTTGAAGAGTGTAGGTTAAAGAAGCCACAGTATTTATTATTATGCTTTCTTTCTTTTATTCTCTTGTGCCTGGAGAGGGGAGATAACCCTTCACTCATATCTGGAAGCTCCTGACTGTCTGGGCCTACAGTACTTCTTCAGTAGAAATGACTGTGGCACACCCACATTACTGCCTTCTGCCTCTTTTTCGGCCTTTTATGGACTTGTAGGTTTGAAGGACAAGTGGATGGTTTCTCACTGGACTCCTTTCCTTCTCTCTCTCTCTCTCTCTCTCTTCTGATGACATCTGAAACTGTGGATAACCAACTCTCCTGAGTGTTGTTTCCAAACAAAGAGACCAAAGCTCCACGCCCAGGTCCAGAGGCCCCATAGAAGCCAGCAAGAATCATCAAGAAGAAGGTGTTCTGTTGGTATCAGGATGTGATGGCCCAGATTGCCATTAGAGTGTCCAGGACTGCCTTGCTGACTTAGACCTAAGCGTCCATCTCCAACTTCTCTGCAAGCAGCATTGGATTCAGGGTGTATGAAGACAAAGGGGTGGGAGTCGGGGAGGCAGGAGAGGAACAAACTCCTCTTCCCACTTTTCGAGGGATCAGGAGTCCTGGCTATGAAGCTGGGAAGCTGGACCAGCTCCCCTGAGAGAAACTGGACCAGGGTCATTTCCTCTGTAATTAACTCTAGGCCCCAGCTTCTCTGTGCCCTGCTTTAACTTCAAGTGATTCCAATTTCCAAAGGCTCTGCTGACCACATGTGATTCCCAGGAAAGGGCTAGAGGAGGGGGGCGCTGAGGGCTGGCTTCCATCCTTGGCGTGTGGCTTTGGATCACTGTCTAACCACACAGCAGACGTCGCCTGGTCCCCTCAGCTCCAGTTTCTTGCCTGAATGCAGCTGACAAATGGGAAGAGAAAAGCATTCAGCAAAATACTCAGGAAACTTGCTGTTTTCATTATAATTCACAACCAGCCATGCCAAGGCCACTTTCTTCTGATAATCCACTTCTGTTAAAGTTTCTCAGGCCCTATTAATAGCCTGAAAGAAATACTAATGACTGGCCTTCCGCACTAAGCCAAAGTGTTTGCTCTTCATAGTGCCCAAAGCTTATCAGTGCAGAGCCCATAATTTATGGAGATGAAAGGAGAAGAGATATGGACAAGAAAAACATGAACAGGAGACTTTGTGCTACCCATAAAAAATTCCAGCCCACCCCATTTCACTCCTGAGCTCCATTTGAAAGAAAGGTTTCTAGTTACACCACTGCTCAGACTGGCATCCAGGCTTTGTTCCACTGAAAAGTGAAAGGAAGTCAGACGTCTCAGCAGCATCACCACAAGCCCCTTACCTCTATGCATCTACCTGGCGTCTCCCAGCAGCTACTTTTGGTGACCATTCACTGCCCCCAGAATGCTTCCTTGAAGATTTGTGAAGAGTGTGGAGAATGATGGGGGGATGCCCAATTGGAGAGTGCAGAGGAAAGAGCCAGAATTGGATGCGAGTGGTTTGGCCACATTTCTCAGGATCCCATGACAGAGTTGACGAATTTGGACTGGCAAAGGAAGTAGTAGCACAGGGGAATCCTTAAAGAAGCAATCAAGAAAAAGGAAAACTGAGTTGGACTCCAGCCAGACCCTGAGGGTGGAAGGTTCTAGAGCCTACCCCCTTTCCAGCCGTCCACCTGTCCTTCCTCCACACCTCTTGGCTTTAGGCCACCAGGAACCAATGGAACCCACACCCTATGGAATGGGGAGGAGAGGGAGTTGGCCTCTCTCCTCCCTGTTATCCAATGTGAGGATATTTTGACCTGTGGAAGGAAGAAATATTAAAGCTACAGTCCCTTCCCACATGAAGCCATTCATCTTGTCGAGAGGCAGAGAAGGAAGTCTTTCTGCAAAGTCTATTTATCTTTGCTTCATTTTATTGCCTGCACAAGAGACAATGCTCTGGAAAAGGAAAGGGACCTCAGAAGGGTGTTTGGCAAGACAGAAGATGCTAGTGTACACGATGGAGAACACATTCCTCCTGCTGGCCTCTGCTGCTGCGTCCCACCCTCTGCATGGGTCAGGTGCTTCTGTGTTTGCCATCCTACCTCTCTCCTCAGCACAACTCACAAAACCATTTCTGATCCACCGCTGGCAGAGAACTCCCCTCTTTACAGAGTTCAGTCATTATAAGCATGGATCCACTGTTAACCCCGCTGGAGGAGGGAACGGTTTCCTGCATTCATTCATTTGGGGAAACTTCTTGAGCCAGGCACTGCTCTAGGCACAAGAAAACATCAGTGAACAAGATCAGAAAGGTCTTTTTTCTAGCAAATTTACATTCTTCAGGCTACTGGTTCTCCTCCCCCACTGGCAGAGGGCCCTGCAAAGGCAGAAAGTGGACCAACCCAGCTGCCTTACCTTATTCTGGGGACAGTCCCCTGGCAATGAGAGCCGCTCTTATTTCCACTGCCACTGTCTCTTCTGGCGGCACTTTGCCTGCTGCTTGAGCTCCTGACCTTCCTTCAATTCCACCAAATGAGGACAAGAAATAGCAGTCAAGACCCCTGGCCCTGCTGAGCATGAAACAGAAGCAGTGGATGGGTGTGCTAGACGAAAAATGGTCTGGACAGAATAAATAGGGCACGTTTGAAAGCCTCTAGCTGATAAATCTCCAAATGCATCCCAGTTGCCACACCGGACCCCATTAACCTGCAGCTGGTAAATACTGAGCTGGCAGCTGCTCTGGGAGAGGCTGTTTTTCCTAGCCACACTGTGTCATGCCTGAGACTCCTGGGGCCTGGACACAGACAGGAAAGAGCTGAGATTCAAGGGGCCCAGTGGAAAATGCAAAGTGGCCTCATAGACACGGTGCTGTGGGAGCAGATCTCATGAGGGTACTTGGGAGATGAAGTCCAGGACCTTCCAACACCTTGTCTCAGGAACGTGCTTTGAGAAAATGGTGGCATCCTTTCCATAACCTAGTCTTTCTTCCCTGTCTCCTTCCTTCCTCCTAGTTTCCCCAGAGTGTGAAGTTTTAGCATCTGGGGCTCAGTGAGTCCCATGAATTAAGAATAAAGTTTCACTCTTAGTATGTTCTAACTAGTCCTGAGGAAAGTCCTAAGAGACATTTAAGACCACAGCTAGTCAGACAGGGCCTCAACCCAATACGCAAACTGGAAATTCCTTGGCCTTTCACGACACCCACCTCTCACGCTTCTCACCACAGAGAACCTCTCCCTTCAGACTGAGATGGGTCGTTTTCTGCTGTGGTGCAGACTGCTTCCTCTTGCCCTAGCCTCAAAGAAGGTGGGAAGCGTCTTCTGCACTTCAGTCAAAGTCAGAGTCTTCACTTTGACCTATCTGAGCTCCATGTCAAAGGTGGAGGGCATCATGGAAACAGAATAGATGTTGTGTGTGTAGGGGAAGAAGGGATAAGCTCTCGATATTGTGAGATGAGGAGTCTGAGCCCACCTCCTTTCCCCACAACCTCTCCTCCTCAAACCCACTCCTCTTGACACACTGGAATCTGTACTATATATATATTTTTAAGGAAATACAATGATGGTTGTCTGGTTTTGTTGTTTTTACAGGTGTTGTGGAATAAAAACTGTAAGAAAATTAAGTATTTAAAATGTTCCAATAAAATGGGATTTTTTTTGTTATTCTAATATATTATTGTGTACCTATTGTAAATATATGAAACACTCCTATTTTGCAAGCCGAGGACACAATTTGTACTGTTGTTATATATAAATAAAGTTTACTGAATAAAAAAAAACAAACAATTCTTCAAATAAGCCTGATTTGTAAAATAACATTTCATGGGCATGTTTAAGAAGGGTACTCATGGAGAGATGGACTAATTTGTGTTGAGGGACTTAGAACTCTCTCTAGAGCCAGAGCTTATTAATGTCCAGTCATCATCATCATCATCACACACACACACACACACACTCACTCACTCACTGCTCTGGCTTGTACCGGCAGGTGAACACTGCCCCCTAGCCCCAAGACCTCAGAATACAACGTTCCTCTAACTGGAGGCAGCCAGTGCAAAATCTGTGGGTTGAGGCCCTGTCCCAGGGGTGAAGTGAGGTCTCTGAAGACTAAGGAAAGCCACCCCCAGCCCTTCCTGAGAGCATGTGTGAAGCATGGCCTGGCACTGTGGTAAGTGCTGGGGGATAAAATAACAATGAGAAAGGCAGGATCCTTGTCCTCAACAACCTTTTAGTGCAGTGAAAATCACAAGAACTCTGAACAGAAGTGTTTCACCATGTGTTGGGAAGGACTTTTATTGCTGCTTTTATTTTCAGTTGAGATATCAAAAGTAATTAAAGGGAAAGTTACCAGTTAGCATGTGCTTTTAGCAGCCACACAGGTAAGACAAGAAGGTGGACCCTGGCCCAGGGGAGAAAAGTGATTGGGCTGACATGAAGTCCAGAGACAGGAGAAACTTCACAATTCTGCAAGAAGGCTTGGAGGTAGAAAATTGATCTTTCGGCTCCCTCTAACCTGAGGAGGCCGAGTCCCATCCCCTCCTCTGCACTTCGACCTTTCTGTCTTTGGTTCTGGTATCCCAAAGTATGTAGGTGACACATCTGCTCTCTGAGAAATAGATGAGAATAGCTCAAGACCCCATCTATCCAACATCCCAACTGAAAGTGTAAAGAAGCCACTGTTCACTCTCTTCATGATAATGGGGTCAGGAGAGTCTTCCGGAACTACAGCCTTGTACCAGGTGCTCAGAGTAGAGCTTCCTAAAGGATCAGGTGCAGCCCCTGCCTTCAAGGTATCTCCAGTCTGATGGGGGAGACACAGACCTGCTCTCAAGGGTCATATGAGACCCGATTTAAAATGGCAGCCAACACACACACACATAAGAATGGGGCCTGGGCCTTGTAAAACAAAAGCATGTCAGCAAGTCCATGTTAATAAATATGGTGAGAGCTGACAGCTTCGAAGAGATAATACTTGGGGGGAGATTTTCAGTCCCTACTTAGCATCTGTGTGTCCCCCACCCCCACACACACATATACCCTTACACACACACACTCCATTCCCAGAGAGAGTGAAGAGATGCAAATGCTGGTCCTGAGGGTTAGAAAAATGCAAACAACATGGTGAGGAACCAGGAGAGGCAAAAAGTGCAGTACTGAGCCTGGCATGTAATTAGCACATTGTTTCTAATGGCACAGTGACCTGGGGAGTACACTGCAGAGGTCTCCTAACTTTAAACCATCCTCTACCTCCCCTTGAAATGCAAACCTAAAACCCTGGAGACACTCTATTGCACCCCAGTGAAAAAGGTGTAATTTCTCAGCAAAAGCAATAATATGGCCCTGGTGAGCTCCATTACGGTACTGAGCAGTTAGATGTGACCTGTCTCTGTCACTGTCTTAACCAGGTCCCTGGCTTCCTGAGAGGCTGAGATGCAGGGAAATTTGGGCAGAGGAGGTCACTTCTCTACATGGACTCATTATGCCTCCGAGTTTTCCTCAGTCTTCTTGCTGCTCCCTATCACTCTTCTCAGCAATTTGGGCTTAGGTTATTTTTATTATTAAATACCTGCTGAAGAAATTACCATCCTCAGAGAAGAAAGAGAAGGGAGAGAAAAGAAGCTACCAGATGCCTGGTCTGTCTTGCTCACTGCTATACTCTCAGGAAAGAACATAGTCCCCGGTCCACAGCAGATACCCAACAAATATGTTCTGAATGAATGATTGAGTGAATGGAATTTGTGAACTGTCTTCCAAATTCCAGGCACTGGAACATCGTCTTTTAGGCTTCTCAACCTCATATGATAAGAGTGTTCCACTTTTTCAGTCTGAGGTTCAGAGAGGTTAAGGGATTTGCTTAAGGCCACACAGTTCCTAAGTGGTCAAGCCACGGAGGTCTGACTCCAGATTTCAGATTGCATATTTTTTCCACTGCATGATACTGCTTTTCTTGGATGGTTATATCTAAGACCATCTAATACTTTGAAGTCCTCCTCAGAAATTGATTCTTCCTCTTGTAACAAGCAGATACTATGGGACTACTCTACAGGATTCATTCGTATTCATATTTGTTCAATAGTTGGCATCTATTCATCACTTGCTGTGAGCATGGCATTAGACTAGGCACTGGTAGGCAAATACAAGGGGTAAGAGAAGCTAAGTCCTAACACCGCCGCTTTCCCAGAGTTTCCAATCTAATGTCAACACCAAATCATTACTCCATGAGAAAAAGGCCCATCCCTCTTCTTAGCAGGAATTAGCTACCACTTCTACTACAAGTGCAAAATAATTTTGCCAAACTGCATCAATAGGCTTCTCAGAGATCTGGGTTCCTCTAATTGAGGGTAAAACCTCCACAATAAGCCATTTGAGAAAATGTAGGAGGTGGGTGCTGCTGGCAAGCTGTGCTTGATCACACCAACACCATGAGCTGTGAACCATCTCTGCTCAGCCAGTGAGCTGAAAGACAGAGGCTCCCACCTGTTTTGCACTGCCTGCTAGAAGTTTAGAGCCAAATGTGTGGGCCACCAACAACACATGTACTGCACTTTCTGCCATGTGTTATCATATTCATCTTATTCCTAGCTTTGCTTTGTCTTTGCCTCATTTAACTTTACTCCTCACCCCCTACTCCTTTCTAATTGCTAGGCTTCCTACACATCTGACTAAGAGCACAGACTTTGGATTCAGATTGCCTCTAGCTGAATTCCATCCTCAAGCTGTATGGTCTGGGGCAAGTTACATAACTTCTCTGTGCATCGATTTTCAAATCTGTGAAAGAAGGATAGCAATAAGTATCAAATAAGGTTTTTGAAGGGGTTAAATAAGATAATGTATATAATGGACTCAATACATTTTACAATAGGTAAATGACCGCAAGACAGAATTCATCACACATCCCTTCCTTATAGGCAGCCCGGCACCTACAGACATATAGACATGAGAATCTCCATCTGCAATTGGGAAGAAGCTGAATTAATACACATACATTTAAGAATGAAAGCTAATGCCTGAGAGGAAGAATCATCAGTACCACTCTTAAAAACCATCGAATCATAAAGACAGACAACAAAGGGGGAATAAAGGAGCAAAGGATATACAACACAACCAGAAAACAATGAACAAAATGATAGGAGTTAAGTCCTTACCTATCAGTAACAACCTGGAATGTAAACAGTTTAAATTCTCCAAGTAAAAGATATAGACTGGCTGAATGGATGACAAAAACAAGAACCAACTGTATGCTGCCCATAAGAAACTCACCTCCCATGTAAAGACACATAGACTGAAAGTGAAGGGATGCAAAAAATATTTCACACAAACAGAAGACAAAAATCGTGCAGGAGTAGTTATACCTATAACAGACAAAAGAGACTTCAAGTCAAAAAATATAAGAGATCATGAAAGTCATTATATAACAATAGAGATCAATTCAGCAAGAGGAAAGTTAAGCCCTTAGGAGACTAGGTTAGCATGGACGCTAACCTAGGAAAACAGAAGAGTCAAGGCTTTACCCAATGGCAGAGCCAGCTGGGAACCTGCCAGTAAATATGCTACAGCTAAATGCAAAGTAGCAGAGAAAAGTATATCAAACCAGATTTCTGTGTGCTAAGGATACAGACAGGGCCTGGTTGACTACAAAGTCAGTCAATGATCTCCTAAAAACTTGACCAGGTCAAGAGTCTGAAAAGTGCCTGGTAGTAGAAATGCTCCTTCACCTAGAGAGCCAGGGGGCATGTCCAGTTCACAGGCCAGGACAGAGACAACAGGAGGGAGCAAGCAGGCTAGAAACAGAGGCCACAACCCCAGAAGGGCCCATTCCTAGCAAGAAGCCAAGGAAGCAGAAGAGGAAAGGAAATGAAGCACTCGGCAGAGCTGGGAGGAGGACTCACCTGTCTCCCCTCAGGGAGGAGTCTGGGCACTCAATCCCTAACTGGTTTTAGGGAAGTGTATTAGTCAGAGTTTTTCAGAGAAACAGGACCAGTAGACTGATAGGCTATGCATATGTGTATGGAGAGACAGAGAGTGAGAGAGAGAGATTTTAAGGCTCTCTCTTGTAGGGGCTGGCAAGTCTGAAATCTGCAGGTCAGGCTGGCTTGCTAAAAATTCCAGCGAGAGTTGATATTGCAGTCTTGCATCCAAAAGCAGTCTGGAGGCAGAATTTCTTCTTTGAGAGCCATCAGTCTTTTCTCTTAAGGCCTTCAACTGTTGGATGAGGCCCACTCACATTATGGTAATCTGCTCTTCTCAAAGTCTACTGATTGTAAATGTTAATCACATCTAAAAAAAATATCTTCACAGCAACATCTAGATTGGTGTTCAATCAAAAACTGGGCACCACAGTCTAGCCAATTGACACATAAAATTAACCACTACAGTGAAGTAAAGACAAGTCAATCTGTTCATCAAAGTACATGTGATCTGTAAATCCACTCACTTTGATGCTTTCTTGTCTGATTTCTTTCACCCTTTAGTCTCCGAGTAGAAAATGCTTTTGAAAGATCCCAACATTTACTGGCTAATTAAAAAAGAAAAGGAACAGACATCAATGAGGTGTGAAGGGTCCTCAAGAGATGGGAGGATTCTGGCTCCAGATCAGGGAGGTGGCAGGCTCTCGGACTCATCATGGGGAATAAGAGAGAGTAGGGAAAAATCATCCCTACTGGTTTTTCTCCTGAACTCATCAGTGTCTGTGTTATCCTAAGCCATTAAAAAAGCCCCAGACTGAGCCGGGCTCGGTGGCTCAGCCTGTAATCCCGCGCCTTTGGGAGGCTGAGGTGAGTGGATTGCCTGATCCCGCA